GGCTGGTACACACTGGGCCTCCCAGCTGAAAGATGCTACAGGAAACCATAGGACTCAAAGAAGGGGCATGAGGCAACCCCAGTGGCCCCCGGGGACCCATCCACCAACACACCATCAACATGGCTGTGAAATGAGGACAACCATCCTTCTTTTACAGATGGGGAATCTGCAGCTCAGGGACAAAGGGCCACCTAAAAATGCAGTAGAGTGGGGGACGCAGGAAATGGTGCCAACATGGGGCTGGGCATGCCACCTGCAGCGCCAGCCCAAGGCCCCAAAGCCATTGGCACCCTCCCTCCCCCAGCAGCTTTCTCATCCTATAGGGGGCTGGGTCCTGACACTGACCAGCTGCCCAGCCAGCCCTGGACAGACCGCTTAATCAAAGCGCGATCAGCACAGTGTCTGCTCACGTTGCTGGGCAGATGTGCCTGCCAGGCCATCTGGTGGACCAGCTCTTCCTGACCCTAGGCCTGCCTGACCAATCTCTGGACAGAGACATGAGTCGGAGTCCAGGGAATAAGGAAGGTGATCAGGCAGTACCTGGGTGACAACACAGGTCACCTCAGCTGCTGGTTGGCAAGAGGGGAAGAGGGTGTCGAAGGCAGGACAAGGAGCACTCACTGCCCACACCACTTCCACTGTGGGGTAGCCTCAACTGTCCTGCCCACCCACCCGAGGCAACCAGGCTCTGCCCCTTCTTTGTACAGTCTCCCTAGATAGACACTGCCCAGCAGGCTTGGCCCCAGGGAAGCATATCGCAGAGATGCACTTCGAAGGGCTCAAGCAGCTGTGAAGAACTGAAAACCTCAAATCTCACGAGACAAGTCGGCAGGTGCACAGGGAAATCACCCCTGTGATCTCCTGACACCTCCTGCTGTCATCTGGGGACACCTGAGGGAAGCTGCCCCAGAGACACTGGGTCCATGTCAATACACAATCCTCACCTATGAGCTTCTGGGGCCAATGGCCCTTCCTGTCACCACTGACCACTGCTGAAGTTTTGCACCAAGTAGCTCAGCCCATCAGAATAGGGGGCAGCACCAGGCCCAGCAGCTGAGTTCCTCAAGCCCCCAGCCTACCTGAGCTGGCCTCTTCCATGACCTATTTCCCAGCCCATCCATGTCCCTCCATTGGGTCCCTTTGAGGACGTTGATCTCCTCCTATGGACCCCAGCCAGGCTCTCTGCCCACACTGGACACACTGCCCAGAGCTGCTAGAGAAGAAGCAACAACACAAGGTAGCCAGGCAAAGGCAGGGGCATCAGGGCAGCAGGGCTCTCACAGGGCAGGGAATTGGGGCCTGCATGGCCAGTCAAACCCCTCTCCTGGGAGGGCTTTCAGGTGGACCCTAATGAGGTACGGCAGCACAGGTCCCTGCCTAGGCAGCAGTGTGCAGGCCCTGCGTGACCAGCCCCCTCAGGAAGCCCACTCCTCCCTATCAGTGACAGACTGGGTCTCAGGCACCTGCACTCCCAGAAGCTTCACCCATCTTCAAGCTTCTGTTCATGTGGTACAGAGCTGGTGTCCAGGAAGAGGCCCTGCTGAGGCTGGAGACACCAGGTGTTTCAGAGCCATCCACAGGACTTTGGCTCTCCCTTGGGGCCTGTGACCCAGGCTCAGCGTCCCCAGCCTCAGCACCTAGCAACTGACCACAGATTCCTGACAGAGGTCTGACAGCTGATGATAAGCAGGTGCCAGAGGCCTGAGGCAGAGCATTAGGCCAGGATATACCAGGTAGGAGCCAATGTTCCATCTCAGCCCGATGGCTAACACTCTACCTGCATGCTGGCCACCTGTAACCCCAGAGATCAGACCAACAGTCTGTGTGACAGTGGCTAACTTAGGACAAGACTGGCATGCAGACAAGTCTTCCCAATGACGGCCCTGAGCTCAGTACAGCCCTGCACCACAATGCCGGCACCAGCTACACCATCCTCTCCTCAGCTTACTGGTTATTCTGCCAAAACACCCCGCCTGACCACAGATCCTGAGTTCCACCTCTTGGAGATCCCCAAGTCCCCTCCCACCCCAGTCAACATGCACTGCTCTCCTGCCCCTGAACAGCCCCATTCTAGGCTGGACACCCATCCTGACTGCCCAGACAGCACCCTCGACTCTCCTCACCTCGTGCCCCCGACAAGCAACACCACCAGCAATCACTTTAAACCTGCACCCAGGCCTGGGCCCTCCATGTCAATCCAGATTCACACGCTTCTCCCACCCCCAAGGCAGCCAGTCCCCAACAGGGACTGGACTCCAGTCCTGCCAAACTCCAGAGGAAGAAGCCATGTTTTTCTTCCAACGCAATCCAAAAACTGCCCACCACTGTTAGGACAGGCCTAGCACCTCTGCCTACCCCCCACCTGATTCTGCCTCCTGCCAACCTCCACTTCTGCTCTTGCCTCATCTCCTCCTGGCTCTGCACTGCCCCTCCCAGGCCAATCTAGCCCCATCTCAGGGCATTTGCACATGCTGCTGCCCAGCCTGCAAGGCTGTCCCTCTACATCCCTGCCTAGCTGCTCTCCCTCATCCCATAACCTGTGCTCAAACATCACCCTCAGGAAGGTTTTCACTGGCCACAGTGGCTAGTGACCCTCCACATACCCAGGAGTTGACTGTCCTCAGCGCAGGCCCCAGATCGTCCTAGCCCAGCCCCCTGCTCCTCTGGGGTGAGGGTGCAGGTGGCTAAAGGGGTGATTCTGACCAGCTGGGCTGCCTGAGGTCCCTCTGTGGCCCTCTTCCTCCTCAGCAGATGCCCAGATGCTCCGGCTGCCCATCCGGTTGGAGGGGTCCACTGTCTGTCCGTTAGAGTCTGACCTCCCAGACAGGCAAAGGAACCGGCCTGCTCAGGGTGCAGAGACAAAGGCAAGCTGACCACCAAGCGGCCGCGATTAATCTCGGTCAACACCATGGCAGTGCGAGTCGTCCGCCCAGCAATTTACATTTTTATTAAATCACACAGGAAAATTAGAAATGTTATTACTTCCCTGAGCACTTTAACCCCTTCTCTGTCCTGCTCTCCATGGCCGCCCTGTGCAGACCAGGGTGAAGGCCAAGGCTCCCATTCCCCCCTCCCCCTGCCTATCACTCCACAGTGACCATGCAAAGGCTGTCCTCTTGAGGCCCAGGGTCCTGCCCGCCACCTCTGTGCTCTATGTGGCCAGTGGCAGGCAAAGCAAACCCCCTCCCCATAAATGAGAAATGTTAGGTAGCAGGGTCTCGGTCAGACCCAGCTGTCCCCTCCTCTGCCCTTGTCCCACTTGGCCTCCCCAAGCTCCTAAGGCCTCTAAGAATCTCTACCACCCCAGTGGGGGATCCCTCCTCTGGGCTTCAGACTCCACAAGGCTGAAGTGGGAGGAGGCAGGTGTGCAGACTCCTAAAATGAGGCTCAGAGCTGGGGCAACTGCCCCCTAGGGCAATGCCAGGAGACATGGCAGGGCCTACAGCCCCTGGGTGCCCGCAGGGCCTGGCTTCCAGTCAGGGAGGAAACACACAAGAGCCCACAAATCTGTGAGCCACCACCAAGTGCAGAATGTGACTGGTCCTCAGAGCAACAAGCAGGCAGAGTGGGCTTCGGAGGTTGCTGCAGAGACCCCCTCATGGAGTAACCCCCAAGAGAGGCCTGGAGAGGGAGGAGCCACAGGAAGATCCACAGAGGACATTCAGGTGGCACTCAGGGATGACACTGGGGCGTTCTCACCACGGAAAGCAGATCAACCAGCACAGCTGGCCCCTGGTGATCTGTGGGGGTGGAGGCAGAGCAGGGCCGAGTGCCAGGTCCCAGTGTCCAGCCCAAGGACCTACCAGAGTGGGGGACCAGGAAGGAAGAAGACACAATTGGGTCAGGAGTTTGGAACAAGTACTGGTGGGACTAGGGTGGGGGGGGGGAGGCTTGTGATCCCCAACACTACCACCTCACTCAAGCTGTCACCCACAGCCCACCATCCTCTACCCAAGAAGCTGCCCAGGTCGCTACCTTCCACTCCCAACACAGGCCCTACTTTTGGGTCTGTGAATCAAGTGTGGGACTACCCCTCCCGAACAGGGAAATCGAGGTGGGGTTGCCATAGCAGAGGGCCTCTGGACACAGCAGCTCTGCCATGGTCCCCAGCCGGAGGTTCCATGTTCATCTGTGCCTGGAGCCAACCCAGATTTAGTCTGAATGAACAGGGCCAGAAAGAGAGTGAAACTTAATGGTAACCCCTCCCGTGCATGCATTATGCATCAACAAAGAGTGGGGGCCAGAGAAAACGCCACAATCAATTTCAGCCTCAAGTGCTGGTCCACTGACTCTGCCCACCATGCAGTTCTGTGTTCCACAAACACCTTCAGAGGATCACAGCAGGCAGCTGCCTATGACCAGATCAAGACCTAGGGAGAGAGGCCGGGAAGACACACGTTGTCCATGTCAGTCCTATCCACCCTTGTTCCAGTACCATGCAGGCCAAGAGTAGGCTCCTAAGTGCAGAGATCCAGCCAGATCCTGACTGCCCAGCAGACACAACCCCACCACAGCTGCTCTCTGAGTTCTCAGCTTAAGACCAGAAATGCAGGTAAGGAGCAAAGAGCCCGCAGGACCATGGGCTGTGCCAACACCTGCTCCTACACCTGCCAGGTGGGGACACTAAGGCCCCACTACTGCCAGAGATTCAGTGACTGCCTCTGGGGCACAGCCACTTCCGGCCGGGGCTCTTGCTCCCCACAGCCCAACCAGCCAGATCAGTCATGGTGGGTGAGAACCCAGGCTGAGCCTCAGGATTCCAACCTTGACTCTCTCTAGGGCCTTCTGCCCCGCCAAGACTTCAACACACAGCCGACAGGCACAGGAAACAGAGCCCCCCTGGGGTGTGTCATTCCCTCTCCCCACAACCCCACACCCACCACCCAGTGCTGCCAGGGTCCACACCAGTGTCTGGCCCACAGGAAGTGTAGCACTTATTGAGGGTGGAGATGACCTAACTCAGGAGAGCTGCCTGGAGGGGGTGATGAATGGGCAGATACCTGTCAAAGTGAGTCGCTGCCTGGTGCTCAGGAGAGCAGCATAGGGACCCAGGAGACAGGAGGAGCCAGAGTCTGACATCCAGCCACTGCCCTGCCTTCCTGACAGGAGCCCCGGAGGCAGGAGCCAAGGGCTCTGCATCCACCTTCACAGGAAAGAATCAGGGCTTGGCTTGGGGTTTTGTCGAGAAACCTCTGATTTCCCTTACCCTGTGGCTGCTGAGTCAGGCACACAGGGGCGGACCCCAATCACAGCCCCTTCCGGAGGGCTGCACAGGCAGGAAGCTGAGCCCCGGGGTAGGAGAGGCTTCCTCCACCCTCTGCATCCAGGACAACCTCACGTGTCAGTGCTGGAAAGGGCTGGGGAAACTGAGGCCCAGGGTGGGCAGACTTACCCATGTTCATGCTTCACACTCCAGGAAGGCTGGTCCCCACTGACTCACACACAATGACCCCATAAAGAAGACAAGGGCACAGGGCTTAAGCCTGGGGAACAGAAGGAAAAAGTGCAGGGGCAGTCGGGGAGATGGGAACATACCAAGCAGGGCTGCCAGGAATCAGGGCTCAGCGCAACCAGGCCCCCAGGAGGGAGGTCACTACATCCTGCAGGGAGGGAGCTAAGCCTACCTTGGTGGGCCACGAGGGTCCAAGAGCAAGAGGCGCCAGGGGATACAACACCTGCTGACGAGGCACCCACCCTCAAGGAGGAAATGCTCTTTCCCACAGTTGCAAAAGGCCCTTGACTGAAGGAGGAAGGAACCCAGCCTCACAGCATCCCTGGCTCGGTGCCACGCATGGTGTACAACAGGGGCTGGTCCTGAGGCCTGGGCAGCCCGGGGACGCCCTGTGGACACACATCCCTCCTCTGGCCACCAGAGGGGTAGTGGGGATAGGACAGTGGACTTAACCCCCAAGTCCCTGTCTGGTTACACCAGTGACCACCTCTGTTCCCAGTCCTGGGAAACACCAGAGCCTTGGGTGGCTCCAGAAGCAGTGGTCCCTCCCAGAACTGGCCCTCTTGGGGAAATGCACAGAGCCTCACACCAGCCTGCCCACATTACCCAGTGTCATGCTGAGTGCTCCCATGCCTGAGGCCACAGGAGGGTGACAGGCGATCCTCATGGGCCCCACAACCCAGAGTGAGCAACTCCTCTCGCTCCCTGTCCCTCAGACAAGGACACTGAGGATCACAGCAACATCCACCCACCGCTCCCTGCTTTCGGACCAGAACTGAGGGAAGGCCCAGCTTCAGTGACCCTCATAACCACTCCAGAAGCAGGTGTCATTAGCCACCTCACAGATGCAGACTTGAGCCTCACAGAGGGAGATACACTTGCCTAGGGCACACAGTTTGGACCCCTGACCCCTGCGGGCACCCTCCTCACCTCCAAAGCCAAAGGCCCTCCATGAAGGACACCTCCCAGGGGAGGGTCAGATAGAAATCCCATAATCTGCTGGGGCCTCTCAAGGAGGAGGTGCCTCCCCCCTTGTGGGATATGGTTTCCTGACCACTAATCAAAGGATTACCCAACAATCCTGGGCACCCACACGTGCAGGCACCTCCACAGCCACTCCTCCCTCGTCACTCACATCTAGCAAAAGGCCACTGCCACTGCAGCAGGACAACAGCCACCAACTGCACTGTGAGGCCAAGCCAGCCAGGGCAGGAAGGGCCAGAATGGAGGCCTATCTCTCCTATGGGGCCAAATCCCCCAACCTACCAGGTGGCCTGCTGGGCCTGCACATAGCAGTCACCTCTCCCGGAGGCCACACCTGGCACTCTGTCGTGCCGGGCACCTCGTGCCTGCAGGGCCCACCACATGCTCAGGCCCACACAAATGCTGAACAAATGAAACCCCTCCCCCTTCCCATGCCACCTGCCCAGCCATCCCTGCAGAAGAGGCTTAGGAGGGAGCAGCAGCACACTGAGGCGCTGACTGAAGTTCGTGCTTCTCGTCTGCAAAGCACAGGAAAGAAAGTACAGGATTGGCATCCACACCCACAAGCTGAGCAGCCTTGGGGCCCCGTGAGTCCTCTCTGAACCTGGTCCTCCCTAGGAATGAGGCAACACCCTCCCCAGGATTCTCAGAGTGTGACAGACTCTACAGGGGTTGAACCCCGGCTGGTCAGTCCTCTACCTGAACGCCACCCTGCTAGGGCCCAGGAGCCACAGCAGCCTGGGCTGTCCCCAACTTGACCCCGAAGCTCAAAATCCCATGTCCTCCAAACAGCAGGAATGAGGCCCTGCTCTGTGCATGCAAGCAGGAGGGGGACCCCACCCCAGGCTACCAGAACCCCCAAGGTGGCATCCCTGGATCACAGTCTCATTCCCACAGCCAGCAGCGCCTATACAGATGGCCCCAGCCAGGGCCAGGGCCAGGGCCAGGGGGGTGCAGTATGTACAAGCCACAGCCTTGCCTTGCCCTCACCACACCCTGCCCAGCCAGGTTTGAGTCAGGCACGTTGAGTGTCTATTTACCCAAAGTCCACACCTCACCCTAACACACACACAAGCACGCGTGCGCACGCGCACACACACATAGGAAAGGCATACCCCACTCCCACTGCCCAGGGCTACTCCCAGAAGACAGGGATACAATGCCTGGCAGAACTATCAGGAGCTCCTGGCCCCAGGTGTGTGCCAGCCACTGCTGAGCTGAGGTTCCCCCTACCCAGGGGTCACACACATGACCCCTGCCCCAAGGTCCGAGGCTTGGACCAGGAAGCCGGGTGGAGACTGAAGGGCGGGGGCCTATCTAACCCAGAGTTGCTAAAAAGAGCCAAGGGGGAAGTAAAAATAGGAAATAAAAATAAAATTGCTCTAGCCAGCCCTGGTTGTTTGTGTAGGAAACGAGGCATCTCCCTGCCTAACAGGGCAGGCTCAGCTCCAGTCCCTCCCAGATGCGGCATGTCCCCCACCCCCAGCAACCACCAGGAAGCCAAGCTGGCACCTGGGGCCAGAAAAGAAGCATCCTGAAGGGAAGTCCAGAGAACCTGGGTTGGACTCCTGGCTCTGCCAATAACCAGCCTCATAACCTCTCCGTACCCTGGCCTCGGATTCCACAGCGGGACCCAGAGTCCACCTCCCAGGGTGAACAGAGGGTGGGGGGTGTGCAGCACTGTGCCCCACTGCCTCACTAAAGCCCCCCCACAGCAGGGGTGCAGTCACAGGCCTCATCCCCTTGTGCGCCCCACCAGAGCCATTCCCACCTGCGGGCGTCCTCTACCCACAGTGGGCAGTCAGGAGGCAGGGGCGCCAGACCAGTCCAGAGGCAACCTGGCTCTCAGCTCAGCCCCGTCGCACAGCCCTCAGACCTCGATTTCCTCATCAACACAATGAGAGGAAGCCTTCCTTCCTATCCTTCCTGCTAGGCCTTCCAGGGTTCACACCAGGCTCATTCGCACTAAAGTACGAGCAACTGACCCTGGCTGCAGGACTGACTCGGCTCCCTCTCCCAGGGCACAGAGGGCCCTGGAGCTGAGACACCTAGCTAGAGAGCGGGGAGGGGACATCTGGGCCACAGTACCTCCCCTCCCTGACAGTGTGGCATTTCTCCACAGTGCTCCATGGACATCTGCTGCGTCAATGTTCGTGGATGGGTAGACTCTGCCCGGGGTGCCTGTGAAAGACAGTCTGCGTGCTGGGGATGAGTAGTGATGCCCGTCACAATCTGGGCCTAGGGACGGGTGATGCACGCCATCTTGAGCCCCCACTGACCCTCGATATACTACTTCAGTGCTCCTCGTCACACCCAGGAGCTCCTCAATCCCTGCTACTGGAACCACTGCCCCGTACCACTCCCTGGGATCTGGCTGGGTGAGCTCACTGGCCTGACCCTACCACGTCAGCTGGGGGTCTTCCAAGTCTCCCTGGGCTTCTATCCTCAGAGAGCACCCCACTCCTGGGCAGCTCATACTGCCTGGAGCCCATTCTCTGCTGCTTCCCCAAAAAGCGCCTGCACTGACTGCAGACCTCCCCACACACATAGGGCTGTACCTGCTACACACACAGCCTACACCATCCCTGGCCTGGGCCAGCCCCTGCCCTTGGCACTCTGAGCTGACTGAGGCAGCAAACCACACAGCATAGCCCATCTCAGACCTGGACTTGCAGGGGCTACCAGCAGAGGAGGGGTACAGAGCACCCAAACATAGGCCCACAGAGACACACAACCACATCTGGACAATGCACAGAAACTCACACCTGGACACAGGTGTGCACAGACATGCTCATGCACAGTCACACACAGGTACACACGCGCGCACACACACACACACACACACACACACACACATTATGAGGCTTAGACACATGCACTCTGGCTTAGAACCCCTGCATTCTGCCTGACCTGTACTGTCAGTGCCTATGGCTCCAAGACCAGGAGAGGGTCTGGAAGGCCATGTGGTTGAGAGCCACACACATGCTGTCTAGTTCTGGCTTTTCCACCAAGTGGGCTCCAAGCTGCAGGCCCTCTGAGCTCTCCAGACGGCACAAGGCAGGGATCCCCATAGGCAATGCACAGACAGGTAGGGGCCGAAGACAAAAGAGGCAGGGTCCTAAGCCCTATGGGTTCCGAAGAACCTGGAGCCAACCCCAGGTGGGGGACCACCAGCCCTGTCCAGACACGGCGGCTCAGAAGCCGCAACCTAGGTTCCTCAGAGGTCCCAGGTTCCCACTGCAGGGACAAACACTAAGTGAGGAGGCCTCAGTAGAAGGCGGATGGCAGTGGTGACAATCACAGCGTTGTTCTCAGGAACACGGGCAAAGAGACCTGAGGGAGGGAGGGGTGGAAGGCAGGGCGGCCATCCAAGACGGGTAGAGGGGTCAATCAGGAGAGAGGCCCAGGGCAGGCTAGCCGAGCTCTGGGGGGTCCCCGGAGATCACAATCCCACAGCCTGCTCCCTCCCCCACAGAACCCACAAGGTCAAGCAGGTACAGCATTGGCCTCCATGCAAGGCTGGAATCACAGCCGAGGGCACAGGGGCCGTCTGCCCCCTGATAATGAGCTTCCCAGCTTATCAGCTGTGTCCAGGGCCATTCGGCTCGGAAGCCGTCCCCTCCCCCGCCCACCAGCCGACTGTGAGCGTGTTCCACCGCCTAGCACAAGCAGTAAAGTAACTGTCCACAAGCAGATAAGTCCTGCAATCCACTGCAGCGAGAGGCCACCAACACCTGACCTGCCAGCCACAGCTGCAGCTAGTCAGATGTACATGGGAAGCATGCCACCCTGTGGGAATTAGCGGGGGGCGCAGGGTGACTTTGCTCATGACCCCATGACCTGGAGGATATCAGCCCAGGTCACAGGGACCAAGAGTGGCCCCTGGGATGCAGCCCGATGAATGAAACAAAAGAGGACTGCACCCCG